ATAAAAAAAAAAACAAAAACAAACACAACGCTTCCCGCCCACAAGCTGTAGACCAAGTGCAGAATCTTTGTGATGATACTTTCCAAACGTGCATATCCATAGAAATAAATCCAATTCAATAAAGGATTGATTTCCAGTGCGACTAAATCCAGCATTCCTACTAAAATATCAAATGCTGTGCTTAATCATAGTACAGAGCAATAAACAATGTACGGTGATGATTAATCTGTTAATATGCTTTTATAAGCGGGTTTAAATGCACTTTTGGCAAACATCAACACTGATCTGGCAACACTAGTGTGCATCTTTCCAATGTGGTAAAGATCCAGATCAGCCCTGGGACCTGGTAGCCTAATTAAACTACCTCAAGGTTTTGCCAAAGCCCAGGGAAGGCTGTGTTCCATTTGGTGAATTTTACCTTAAATTTGACAGATGGAAAATTTTTAAAATAAACCTGCTATTGGAAGATTGCCGTAAAAGCTCAACGCAGATGTCGCCACTGCATGATGATGATAATGTTGACAGACTGCATATAAAATTCGTGAAAATTAGCGTTAAATCATAATTTTCATCAAGCCTGTGTAAAATCCTTCCAATATAACATTCGAATTGAAGAAGAAACCGTTTTTACGATCAGACTGATATGCATCTTTGACTTTTCCAGTTGAACTTTCATTAGATATCAGTGCTAACATTTGAAAACGGCACAAAAGCCATTTGTAAACAAATGGTTTGTGGGCCCTTTACTCACTACTTTAAGTACACCCACGCGACACAACAGCAACATCGGGTAGGGGAAATTTTCCCCTTCCTGACGATGCTGTTGGTTTGCGTGGGCGTTCTTCGGGTAGCGAGTAAAGGGCCCACAAACCATTTGTTTACAAATGGCTTTTGCGCCGTTTTCAAATGTTAGCACTGATATATTCATTTCATTTCGCGGCTCCATCAATGCTGCATTGTAAATATGATGTAAACAGAAGTAAATTGCTCAATTACTCAAAATAAAGATGATTTGTCATCTTGTTATCACTTTGAAGACCATATAGCACCATTTTATAGTATGGTGCGTGTTGAGTAAATCAGTACGTTTTCCGTCGAAAATTGTGAGTATCAATTGGAAGATTGCCGCAAAAGCTCAACGCAGATGTCGCCACTGCATGATGATGATAATGTTGACAGACTGCATATAAAATTCGTGAAAATTAGCATTAAATCATAATTTTCATCAAGCCTACGTGAAATCCTTCCAATATAACATTCGAATTGAAGAAGAAACCGTTTTTACGATCAGACTGATGTGCATCTTTGACTTTTCCAGGTGAACTTTCATAAGATATATTCATTTCATTTCGCGGCTCCATCAATGCTGCATCGAAAATATGATGGTAAACAGAAGTAAATTGCTCAATTACTCAACATAAAGATGATTTGTCATCTTGTTATCACTTTGAAAACCATCTAGCACCATTTTATAGTATGGTGCGTGTTGAGTAAATCAAGTTCCGGTGCGTTTTCCGTCGAAAATTGTAAGTATCAATATGTTTGCTTAAAAAAGGCCAAAATGAACATTTATTGAATATTGGCGTCCTATACAACCAATTCTCCATTACCACCAGCATGATACAACCTTTCCTAAGTAAATTCATTTAATTTCCACTTTCATCTTAGTGAAAATCGCACATATTTACCATTTTCTGAAAAATGCTGGAGCTGCGCAGGAGGTAACCTCTCCCTGTGGGTGCAAACTTGTTATGCATAATTTGCCATGAAAACATCTCCGATCCATACCGAAATAATAACAATTAGTTTTCAAACACGTTTTCTTACACGATTCAAGCAAAAGTTCCCACGGGAAATTATTAGTTTTTCTTTATGGACCGATTTGCCCCAAAAATCGTCTGTTTTACTTGGAGAATTTGGAAACTATCCTCCTTCTAGTAGTTCTCACTTCGAAATGTAGGAGGCGAAAGCTTGGAAAAGTTTCACTGCAAGACGCCAATATGTTTGCTTAAAAAAGGCCAAAATGAACATTTATTGAATATTGGTGTCCTATACAACAAATTCTCTATTACCACCAGCATGATACAACCTTTCATAAGTAAATAAACTTAATTTCCACTTTCATCTTAGTGGAAATCGCACATATTCACCATTTTCCGAAAAATGCAGCTGCGCAGGAGGTAACCTCTCGCTGTGGGTGCAAACTTGTTATGCATTATTTTCCATGAAAACCTCTCCGATCCATACCGAAATAAAAACAATTAGTTTTCAAACACGTTTTCTTACGCGATTCAAACAAAAGTTTCCACGAGAAATTATTAGTTTTTCTTTATGGACCGATTTGCCCCAAAAATCGTCTGTTTTACTTGGAAAATTTGGAAACTATCCTCCTTCTAGTAGTTCTCACTTCGAAATGTAGGAGGCGAAAGCTTGGAAAAGTTTCACTGCAAGACGCCAATTGACAAATCCAAGTTTATGCCGGCCACCGCGGCGCTGTAATCGTAGCGGTGATGAACTTGAGATCATCTGTCAAACTGCATATATTTTCAAGTTTGTGATAAGAAAACTATGTTTTACGTGTTATTGTAATTGCTTTATTCAATAACAGAAAGCAAATATGAACAGAAAAGTAGCGCCGGTAAGAATGGTAAGTAAATCCTAATTTTTAAATACAAAATTATTGAGATTTCTTCAAAATGAAAAATATGTTGCTCCCAGCAAAACATCAACAAATAATATTAACAATATTTTTACCGGATTTAAACTGAGAATGCAATCCTGCAGCCTGCAGGATCATCTCATCGGAGATTGAATTAAATCAATTAGTTTTGCAGTTTTAGATGAGTTGTTAGAACAATTTTACATATTGAAGCAATCAAACCAACAGGAACATCTTCTTTCCTATAGCTGAAGGAATATAGCCGAACGGAAACCCTTTCTTCTCTGGCATAAATAGAATCTCTCTGGTAAGTAGAATTAGATATTTAAGTGCTAAATTATTGAAATAGCATTGAAATAAAAAAAAAATCGTAGAACAAATATGATAAAACCAACTAAATCCCTGCATGCTTCGATCGACGGTTGCAATTCGTATCCGAATACAATCCTACCGTATTAAACCAACAACCAGCATCGGGTGCCTGCATTGGTATATTTTTTACTAAAGGGCTCTTTTGTTTTTATTTAATTTGGTTAGTCACGCCCTAATAAAAAATTACCAAAACGAACGATAACCCAAATCATTGAACTATTCCACAAATGGTTTGGATGATACCTTAAACACGTCGTTAAGCAAATTAACCATAACATTTTTATTCGGGCGTCTCCATATCAACATTAATCGATGTGGCATGGCTGTTAACATAACCAAGTCCATGACCTTAGCATGTTTTTTCAATTTTATTTGAAAACTAGTATTTTTTATTTTAGGATAGACACTTATCACAATAGTTTTTAAGGTTTTGTACAAGATTCATTCATTTTAATGGCATATTTACACGAACTAGCACTGTAATTAAACAAATTACCATAAAAATAATGAAATTTCCATGGGCTGTCACTATCTGATCACCCTTGGATAGTGCTTATTCCTGTCACCAGGCGCGCATTAGTTTAAGTTGGATTCCACCACACCAACAATTAGTTACTCTTTATCAAATCTTGCGATACGTACGTAGTAAAGTAAAGTAAAGTTTAATATACAGCCATTTCATAGCTTGTGGTTCTTAGAATTTCGTAAAAATTTGTAGTTTTGTTCCTTATCGCAAATTTTTTTTTTTTTTATTATTATTGATTTATTTGATAAGGCTCAACCGAATTAACATTACAGAGCCGAGGATTCTTGTTCACTATACAATACATCTTAAAACTATAGTTAAAAGGTACAACACAATAAACATTATATCTTCCGCTATCCAATAAGCCTCCTCTACCAGAACGGGAGCCGCTTCCAGTGGTCTGCTTGTATGGCAAATTCGCCAACGAGGGTCAGAGCGCTTCCATTGTAGCAATGGACGCAAAACGTGGTCATCACTCACACATTCATCACGAAACGGTTGCTTTGCAAAGTCGACGACGCATCGACTGAAAGAACTGCTGATGAAGAACAATGAGGAGGACCACACAATGGTTGCTGCCGAGTAAACAGACGATCGCGTGACACACATTGAAAGTGGTCTGCTTCTGTCGACAGCTGAGTGAACACTGATTATCGCAAAATATTATACCCGTATTTTTTATTTCGTCATTAGGGTGACCATTTCTCGAGGGGCACGCAATACAAAGAACCGGTGCGTTGAAGTTAAAATGCAATCAAAAGTACTTAAAGTAATTAATGCGTTTTGAAGTAGTACTGACAGTAATTAAAATTATCTATCTGTAATTAATGTAATTAAAAGTCTTGAAAATGTAATTAATGTACTTTACTAACGAAATTTCAACTGTAATTAATGGAGTTAAAAAGTAGTTAATGTTCTATATTGTGTAATTAATGTAATTAAAGCAGTAGTTAATGGAATTAATTTAATTACAGCTGTTGGCCTGCATGGCCAGCCCGCACACCTTCAACACTGTGCACCTTGTGACCAACCGACAGCATCGCGCGTGGCGCACCCCTACGGCAATTCCGAATACTGCGGAGTGACAGGTTTGATTAGCTGCACACGGCGCATGAGAACGACCCAAATTTGAGTTTAGTTCACTCATAATCGCCAAAAGTGCAGGAACTCAGCGATGAGTAAAATTTGTCTCATGTTTTCCCAGGTTTTGAGAAAAGTAAAGATTGGATTCACTCAGTCTATGGGTACTACTCCGAGACTGAATAAAATTTTCGTAAATTGCCTCATTTTCCGGTAGATTTTTTAGGTTTCCACAGGAAACCATGAGACAAATTTACTCATCGCTGAGTTCCTGCACTTTTGGCGATTATGAGTGAACTAAACTCAAATTTGAGTCGTTCTCATTCGCCGTGAACATTGTTTACGTTCTGCCCTGACGAGACAATGAAATCCAATGCGTTGTTTCTATTGGGAATAACGGTTTTGTGCGTATTTTTGCATCAGTTGCATAGCCAATGGAAAATAGTTGTTGCCGAATTTGCTTTGACAAGGACACAACGCTCCTTTCTCTGCAAACTGTAGTTGAATTCGCTGGTGCGAAGTTGACGTGCATGCAAATGTATCAGAATATTACGAAATTAGAGGTAAGATTCCCAGCAGTTTTTTTTTTCTAAATGTGGATACTAATAAGATAGGTATCTGCTTGATTTTTAGGAACCTGCAGAAGAATTGCTACTAATTTCCCAAAATATTTGTATCTCTTGCTTTGGTGAGCTCAACAGTTGCTACAAATTCAAGCAGAGAGCTATCGAATCCTTCCAAGTGCTGACAAAAAATGTTTCTGATAAGCTTGAACAAAATAAGATCGACGAAGATGAATCTGTCACGGTGGTTGAATTTGAGGATCTTGATGGAAAAGATATCCCGAATGTTAGTCCCAAGCAAAGGCTAGATCAACCCACAGAGTTGGATGAAGAAGAATATTTTGAAATCGATTTCCTGGAAGAGAAGTCCCAGCACGATCGACCTGGTACAGCGATTAGCACGATTGAGGGCTTTGAAATTGAACACGATACATGTGAAGATGCAAACGTTGTCGATGCAGAGTATAGGTGTACGACTTGTTCAGAACTTTTAAATTCACAAGCTGCCTTGGACGTGCATTCCATAATAGAACATTGCCAGCGGACGAGCAGCGGCGAATTGCTGTGTCCTGTTTGCAACAAGCTCTTCGGGACTAGGAAAACCTTGCGTCAGCACAGTCGCATCCATCAAAAGCGTGATTCAAGGAAGTTTAAATGTAGCTTTTGTGAAAAAGCATTCAACTATGGACACCACCTTAGAATACATGAAACCACTCACACGAAGGAGAAACCGTTTCCATGTTCAACATGCGGGAAAACATTCGCTTCCAAAGATCGACTTACGAACCATCAACTGCAGCATGCGGATGACTTTAAGCACAATTGCGAATTGTGCACTGGTAGTTTCAGATTTAGGAAGGCATTGAAGATGCATTGTATTCTCAAGCATGATGCTGCTGTCGATAAGTTTGATCCAATCAAGTGTGATAAATGTGGCAAGGAATTGTACTCACAATCGGCAGCAAGCGCCCATTTGAAAGGTCCTTGCGGAAATGATGTATGTACATCTATGGATTCGGAAAAGGTAGCTGAACGTGACAGGAAGGACCACACTTGTGATCAATGTTCTCGTGCGTTCAGATCACGTGCCGCCCACATTATGCACTTAAAACTGCATAATACAAAAGAGTGTAAATGTCAAGACTGTCCGCAGATTTTTCCAAACCTTTATGACCTCCAGTGCCATCGGTCGCAAGAGCATCAGAATCGTACCCATACGTGCGAGATTTGTGGAAGGAGCTTTCTGCAAATGGTGGTTCTAAAACGGCACCTGAAAACGTAATGCATGACTGCTTGTTGTTTAGATTCAACCAGATTTTGTTTAACAGTTGGTTTATTTCAGGCACTCTGGTGAGCGGTCCTTCATGTGTGCCTTCTGCCCCAAGAGATTCACTCAAATGGCAACGTTGAAAAACCATGAAAGCACCCATTCCGAAGTGTGCCGGTTCGCGTGCTCTCAGTGTTCAAAAAAGTATAAATTTTTAGGATCACTCAACAACCACGTCAAAATGTACCACGGTGACGAGGAGATGTAGAAATAAACGTATTGTGCTGATCAGTCGTAGTTCTTTTGTCAAGGATTTCGGACATTCCCAAAGCGAAGACAATCATATAAATTATTTTATATTTTGCTGAAATTTATAATCAATACAATTCTCAACATACCGCAACATTGTCTCGTCAAATATGTATTCTAAATCTGTTGCATATGCCGAGACGGAGTGCGGCATAAGATGTAGGTTATAATATTACCATTGTTGAAAAATTATGCCTTTTTATGTCGAGTTTTAATACTTAAAAGGAAGAATAGGATTACATTTCATGGTTTTCACTTTTTTGATTCTTAGTTTTTGCTGTTTGCATATGATCAGGCCTATTCTATGCGGCAAGTGAGATGTGGTGACTTTCTGTCCCTAGTCTCCGTGTAAATTAATCCAATGTAGAGTCACCTCACCTCACTCACCGCGCAGAATAGACCTGAATGTATATTATTCTTGGGAGCTATGTATTTTTTGTAGCCCTCAGGCCGTTCACAACGCGGTACTATTTGGTATGAACTGTTCTGTTGTTGTGTTTGTTTTTTGTTTTACATACAAAGTAGTACAACGTTCCAAGCGACTTTGTTAGTTTTTGCATGCCTTGGTAAATGGAACAAAGTATATTTGTAATTTTGCAATTGGTTTCGTTAATACATCTTTCAAATGAGCACCGAAGATTAATTCTAGAACAACACACCAAAAGGTGGTCTTGGATAATAGCGTCGAATCCAGGGTCCAGCTTTTGAAACGTAGGTCTAAAATTGTTTAGCATAATAGTAGTATTTGTGTACCTAGAGCACTGTAATGCCATCGGTTTGTTCTGACCTACTCAATTTAGAGCAAACTATCGATTCCTGATTCTCACGAGAGTAGATACATAACGCACGTTGTTGACTAAAGGATTCTATTTTTTCTAAACTTAGGTTATCCCATAGTTTTTTTGTTTTATTATTTTTTCAGTACTATCTTTCTGTAATTGTTGTAAGAAATGATTATTCGTCTTAGATCTAATAGTCATACGATATACAAATGTTTTTAGTCAGTTACTGACTTTATGGTAAGCTTCTCGTAATTTTAGCATTTCACTAAACTTAAACTTCTACCTCCGTTAGCGGGGTTTTCCCTCGAACTACCGTACTACAAACTACAATATACTATTACTAAACTGCTGCTACTAATGGTACTGGTAGTGTTCCACACTTTTACAGCATCGTCTATGCGAATTACGTTTTTATGCGTAAAATTTCAAAGCAGCTGCTCTCAAACAAATCTACGTGTTGTATTACCTAAGGCAGTGATATATTTCAGATTTTGCATTACAGTTTCATGTTGTCTCACACCGTTTCAATGTACGTATGTACTGCTGCGATGTCATCACATCGCAAAGTTTTACCGCTATCAGGAATATTGATGAATGGTGGGGGTCTATCTTGATGCAGAGTTAGTTTTCGGCGTTTTCGGTTACTCGGATTGTATTTTTAAATTCCAAATCGAAAAAGTACTTCCATCATTGTAGGTACTTGTCTCATGTACCATCTTTACACGTCATGTTTACAAAAAATGTAATGAGATCGACCGTATATTCACGTAAACAGATTTAGTGTATTTGTGTTAGTGTGTATGGGGCTTCGATATTTCCGCGAAACGATATTTAGGTGATTTGCTTAAAAAAATCAATATGGCGTATCGAGCGTGGTGTTCTTCTTCCTCAAAGATTTAAAATATCCCAGCAGCTTGCTGCTAATTTTGGACGGTAATTTGATTATTTTACATTAATTTGTTTATGATTATATCACAGACAAACAGACGTAAGACTTTATTCTCGATCTTCGTTCACGTATTTAACGATTGATTTGAATATTGTCGTGCTTATGTTAAATTCTCATTTGGTGACGATCGAAGCGCGCTGCAACCACGCCCACAAGGATTGTACACAGATGTGTAACTTTTAAAATTCTATGGCAGCCGCTTGAGGAGCGAATCCTGGATAAAGAACCGTGTCTTAAATCAATGGGCGCAGACGTACGGCCATAAATAGAAAACAGATGGTATAATCCCTTGTTGGGAAATTATCCTGCCACGCACAATATTATAATTTTTGCGAATTGCTCGCCGCAGCGCTGGCATCGGATCACTTTGACGTTTCTATATATTCTGTTTGCCTTGCATGCAAGCTTGTTTTCCCGGAGAATCCCGAGAGTTGTCGTTACTGAGGTCCTATGTTTTGAGATACTATGCTTTCAAGAAAAACTTATTCAAATAATTACGTCTGTTTGCCTGCGATTATATGTTGCTAACTGTGTCTTTTCTATTTTTATAATTTCAGAAGATGGCATCAGTTGTCCCACAGCTGTCTACAGCTGCAGTCGATTTTTTATTTCTGTGTGAACCACGCGATAGCCTGTTTTCGAGAGTCGCTATTATATAGTTGCTCTTTGTTCGTTGCTAGCAGTTCGGTGCCTTTTGTTGTGCAAGATGTGTGAAGTAAAAAACACCATCAAGTTTAGCTTCAGCCATTGTGATGCTAAACCAAACATCGGAGAGATAGTAAATTTCGCCAAAGCACTCGACGCGGATCCGGCTGAAATAGAAGCTGTTTATCGCATTGGTGAGGAAATGGGGAGTCTTCATGAAGTTCAAATCAGAGGAAGCGATGCTCCATGCTCTGACATTCAATTCGGAGGATTTAATCTTCCATTATGCGAATGGAACGACGGCAAAGGTACGCATGTCGCATGCTGGTGAATTCATTCAATATGTGCGTGTGTATGACTTGCCACCAGAGGTACCCGACAACGAGCTGGATAAAGTGCTGGGGAAATATGGGAAAATTAAACGCATCATCCGGGAGAAAATTCCAACTGATCTGTGTTTTGAGGTATATACATGGATACGCGGTATATATTATATGAATGTGAAGAAGGAAATCCCCACGTCATTACATTTCTTCAATCGCAAAGGAAATATTTTTTTATGATGGCAACAAAGATAAATGTTTTCTCTGCAACTTAAGGGAAAAAGGAAAGCAACTAATTGAAGAAAAACAGAACAGCTGGTGTAGTGGTGGAAGGTGAGTCGTTAGTCATTAGCGACCAGGAAACGGACACGGGGTTGGAGATGTTGATTGAAAATAACGAAATGGACGTGACGACGCCGACGACCGAAGAGAGTAGCGGAGAGCATGCAACGGGAAACGACGTTCAGAAGCAGCAGCAGCGATCACGATTCGGGTTCAATGAAAATTAGGAACAAATTCGGGAAAGAAAGAAGTTGCGTGCACGGGAGAAGATCGCTTTGTCGCCGCTTCGATCGCCACACAGCAAAATTATAACCACGTAAATCAAATTGAGAGTACCTCACACGAGGTGACTATTTTCACCTCACCGGTGAGAGAGTCACGTGACTCGCAGAATAGGGGGGACTAATTAGACGAATCCTTGGAAAGCATCATCCTCGTCGGTAGAGAAACCTCCGAAATCCGGGATGCTCAGTTGATCATCGCTACTTGAATCACTGAGGCTAGGCATCAAGGGCCTTGACACCCTCCTTGTGTCTTCGTGAGGGCACTGGTTAACTTGAATCACTGAGATATAGATTATACCATCTGTTCTCTTTTTATGGCCGTACGACTGCGACCATTGATTTAACATACGGCGGCTATTTATCCAGGATTTGCTCCTCAAGCCGCTGCCATAAAATACTATCTAAGTTACACACCGGCTAAAGAGCGGCGCGCTTCAACCGTCATCAAATGAGAACTTAACTCATAAGCGCGACAATATTAAAGTGTTTGGGAACGTCTGACGACTGCTAGGAAACCAGGTTCAGGAAGAAACCGAAAGCAGGATGCCGCAGCGACCGGTACAAGAGTGGCCAGTGTTTTCAAGCGTAATCCTAACTATGAGATGGATATTAACTATGACGTTTCATACACATTTCCTGACAGTTGGTGAAAGGTCATTTGGATTCAAACTGCTCCACGGGTAAGTTAGACATTGATAAGCTGCGTCTTGGGTGATTTGCCCATAATTAATATCGGCGGATTTTCACATTTCTGGCGATCTTGCCAGGAGACGAAACTGAAATTTTGGAGAGAAAGCCACAGGAGAGAACGCGACCGGGACGGCCGTTCTGAGGAAACGAGTGAGGACGGATTTGGAAAAAAAAAATCGTCTCCTAGTAGTGACACTGCCACAGGATAAGAACGCGACCGGGAGGCCGTTCTGAATGCAAGTGAGGACGGATTTGGAAAAATCGTCTACTCGCCGTAGAAAAGTCACAAGAGAGAACGCGACCGGGACGGCCGTTCTGATAAAACGAGTGAGTCCTTCTTAATGCTGCTAACATAATAGTGAAGGTAACCACACCGGAGGTAACAGAGCCCTCGACGGAGCCAATCTGAATCGCGGTATATATAAACGCGATCGGAACCGCCAGCAGGGGATAAGTATGCAATTCCGGCAAAACCAAGTAAGGATGAAAGTTATGAAGGAACAACAAGCAAATACAAAGAGAAGGTAGTAATCAAACGTTGAAAACCGGTATTTAGATCCAAGATACGCATTTGCATGCTGCTGGAAATTATTTGATGGACGATGAGGATAAACGGATTAAAAGTAAATAGTTGAGAGCCATGAGAATGAAGAAGAGCAGCACTATTTATTTCTGTGTTGTTATTGAACAATCTCAGTGATTTCCAGGATCTCCTCCTTGGTTTGTTTTTCCGTCGATCTTTTTTCCGTGCTGAGCACCTATGCTACCGACGCCAGGAAGGCAGCTCCCACACCTAGACCCTACCTATCGATCCATCAAACTCATGAACCGGGGACCAACGGCTTTACTTCCCTTCCGAAGGAAGACGTGATCAGAGATGTTATGCCTCAGAACATCCCGGCGGCGCCGACTGGGATTGAACCCAGGCCTGCTGGGGTGAGAGGTAATCACGCTTACCACTACACCACCGGCGCCGCTGCCCAGGATCTCCTGTTTATTTATTAGGCTGTTCAAAAGTTCAAAACCATGGACGCAGTCGATTGACTCTCCCACCAAAAAATGTTTAGCAAACATAGATGAATTCAGTACCCAAAAGTTAAGGCTAACACTAGGAAGTAACTGAAGGTCTATTGCTGCTTCTACTATCGCCAGTGGGAATTTTAGGTCGAATCCTTCTTGATTTCTAGGTTGTAGCATTGTCCGAGTACCATGATGATAATGTAGAGGTACATTTTCCACTTGCCGGGTGGGTCATAAGTACAGGTTTCGGCAAACGTCTACCAGAATGAGACACGGTAAAGAAATTTCTTGTCCTGGATGGACAGCTTCTGCCATCACTCACCCTTCTCCTTCTCGTGGAGGAGTTGAACTTAATGGTTGGCAACGGCTAACTGGCTAACAGTTCCAGTAGTGGCCGACGATCTCGCGCTTACCAATCTTATCATCGTTAAAGCAAGAGGAATGAATGTTGAACAAAGAAAAACTCACATTCGTGTTATTTGATGCACGTTTTACTTATTAACAGGACAGGCACAGTGATTACCCTCGTATATACTATGGAATATACGCAGATATAGCTCGTTTAACCATCCATGAGAACTTGACAATGTAAACAAACAATCTCAAAAGTCATAACTGCAGGGTTGCCAAACTCATGGGATACTGAGATCGACAGCATGATTGCCACACTTTGGCACACTCGACCCAACGCTTGCCACAGTTTTCGGCACAGATAAAGTTCTCGGTACAGATTGAGGTGTGCAGAGTTGAATACCCGTTGCAACGCACGGTCAAAGCAAGAAAATGTAAGTTGTATACGACATTGTTTTTTTTTCTTGATTTGTTTTCCGTCGATCTTGTTTTCAGTGCTGAGCACCAATGCTACCGACGCCAGGGAGGCAGCTCCCACACCTGGACCCTACCTATCGACCCATCAACTCTCATGAACCGGGGACCAACGGCTTTACTTCCCTTACTACCTTCCGTAGGAAGGCGTGATCAGAGATGTTATGCCTCAGAACATCCCGGCGGCGTCGACTGGGATTGAGAGGCAATCACGCTTACCACTACACCACCAGCGCCGCTCTATACGACATTGTTGACCAAGTTTGATTGCGTCATAATGGACGATGAAACATACGTGAAGGCAGATTTCAAGCAGCTCCCAGGTCAAGAGTTTTAAACGGCTACCGGAAAAGGACAGGTTCACGATAAATTTAAGCAGAAAAAGTTCCCGAAAAAATACTTGGTTTGGCAGGTGATTTGCACATGTGAAAAAACACAGTTTTTCCGTGCTGTTTATGCGCTTCCTGTCACTACGGGAAAATGGCTCAGGAATGGTATACCGCCAACAACGTCCAAGTCGTACCCAAAGACAAAAACCCTCGAAACTCGCCGGAGCTGCGCCCAATCGAAAAATATTTGGCAATCGTTAAGCGAAACCTCAAGAAAACTCAGAAAAAAGGAGAAAATGAGAAACAGGCGTTCAGCATCAAATAAGGTTGGTACAACAGCGGTACAAAATCTGATCGAGCCCGGCAGTTCGCATTTGGAAAGTCGGAAGCCTAATACAATAATATTCCTGTATTTTGTAGCTGTTGAACTTCAGAAAGAAATAAAGTTTGATCATTTATATAATAACAAAATCAGTGTGCACTTAATTATATTAGGCCATATAATATATAAATACAGGTATTCCACTAAGACGCCCACATTCATCAGGATTTATAATTCATCAATTTTTGACCGTTCCACCCTTTAGAACAAAACGTCCAATGTAACACTCATAGTGGTAAGCTCCAACTGGTATTATCCTCGAATTAAATCCCGATCAAGACTGTCCAACACTGCTTTGATGTCGACATCGTGAGCATGCATAAGGGCGTAAAGGCGATGATCGATTCTCTTCGTCGATTTTCTCTTTAAATTGCTACAGCTAAGGGAAGTAATTTTCTGAAATTTTTCCAATACAGTGCTGTAACAGGTTGTATTGGCCATCAAAAGCAACCTTCTGGCACGGCCGTTGGTTCTTGGAGCTGCCGTCAGTGATAACGGTGGCGTTGATGTTGGAATGATTTTAAGCTTCGGTCATACTTTACCATCAAGCGATGAGTTTCACCCATCCGAGTATGACCAACCGATAGGACGGTCAATTTTTCATGAAGCCACCGTGAACTCACTTTCATGCACTTCTTTCTTTTAAGTTCATAGAGCGCTAGAAACAAAACTGAAAAACACCGAGAGAACAATTGAAAACACTATTCACTTGAGAAATTTTCATCAATACCACAACGTTACCATGGCCGTTCAAACAAACGCATAAACGGAGCTGAAAATCGTCATTTTTACATCAGCTATCAATAACTGACGTATTAGCGAATCAAAGAGCCAAACAAATCGGCTTCAAGCAAAGTGTTCTTCGATGACTTTTGTGCCACCGGAGTGATCAAAAGCAACAACAAACGCACCGAGAAATGTTAATCCAAGCGAGTTATTAACAAAAGGGAAAATCGACGAAGAGAATCGATCATCCCGTTTACGCCCTTATGCATGCTCAAATTTCGTTGATTTTTTGTTGATTTTTTCCAACCTAACTAGACCGCGAGTCCCCGGGGACGTAAAGCAGTGCGCATTCGTGAAAAACTCTGAACATCTGATTTTCCATTTTGCAGATAGGAAGTGAGTTGACTAACGGAAGTTCGCATGTCGCCTTCGGTGGGCAACGTTCAATATATGCGAATGTAGGATACCCTACCCTACCCTAGCGTTAGAACTGGGGAAATAGAGAAAAGTTGAACGGATCTCGACCTTCACACAGGTGAGTGAGGAGTCTCTGTAAACAGAACACCCACGTTTCAGTTCCTCAATCGGAAGGGAATAAAGGGATAAAGCTTATATGATGGGATCTTTGGATGTTATTCATCGATTTCAAATCAGCATACAACACAATCGATCTAGACCAGCTATGGCAGATTATGCGCGAATGCGGATTTCTGGATAAATTGACACGATTGGTCAAGGCGACGATTAATTGAGTGACGTGCGTTGTCTGAGTTTCGTCTCTCCCTTCGCATCTCGAAAAAGGGTTACGGCAGGTGATGGGCTTTCGTGTAAGCTGTTGAACATTGCTTTGGTAGGTGTGATAAGAATAGCAGGAATAGTCGTCCAGTTCCTTGGAACTTTAAGATGATGGCGGAAACGTACATCAGACTGAAGGCTGAAGCCAGGCCGACTGGCGAGGGATGGCTCTACCCCATTTAACAAAACGGCCATTTGGCATAAAGTATAGAAAATGGGGAATGTATAGAAAAGTTATACGGACCATACAACGTGCGGATTGGAGTCTCGACAAATTTAAATCCGGACGGATAAAATGTTCTACAATGGACTGAGAAATAAGTGTTTCCCATGCAAATGTGAGATGCAACAGAGGAATTCTTTACTGAGGGAGGATAAAGCCCAAACAAAAGGGAATGCAGCCGAAAAAATAAATGGAAGCAGATACGGAGGACCAATCGACAGCAGGGATGGCTTCAGATCACGGTCAATGTCCTGACCCTTTAGGTACTACAAAACGCTAACTTTCCTCAGTTCATCGCAAACTCACTCTGACGTATTGCTGACGGTCTGATATGCTATTGGGTATGTAAACAAAAGATTCTGAATGCTGGAAACGCCATTTGAAACCATGACATGATGATACAGTAGTAAGCGTAAAAGCTAACAACATTTTCACTGCTAGACCGACCAAATCATACTGCGGTCACTGATAGCGATAAACAAGAACTGTGCGACTCTTGTGTGTACATTACCACATGTTTGCCCTGTTCACGAGAAAAACTTCCAATCCTTCGTTGGACTGTATTTTATTCTGAAGTTTGTTCATTAAAATAAATTAAAGCCTGCGTTGATTAAGAGACAAAAAAAACAAGAATTTAGAGCCAATTTGGCATTGGTAAAGGTAGATAGGTCGTTTTACATTGTCTTCGTAATTATACAATCAATAGAGTTTTTCCACACACAAAAAATATGCTTCTTCCCATGAACAACATGTTTCTAGAACACAAAAATCCGCTGGTGAATTAACCGTCTTTTAATTTATAATAGTCTCATCCCGCCGACGGAGGGGAAAAACTGAAATCCATACATTTACATCGAATGACAATTTTTGTTTTGTTTTGTTTTGTTAGAGTAAAATTTCCGTTCCATTGTATATCGTAATTATTTTTAATTAAAAGTTATGGTTGTTTATGTTTAATCAAATAGTTTTATGCTTCTGCTTTTATCATGTACGTTGTAACCTCATAAATTTGTTTCGCTCGCTTTCATCTTATATTGGTTCTACAATTTATCACAGTTCGATCCTTCTCTCATTTTACTTTAGTTTAGCTTTACTCGTTTACGCCTTCTTATTTTTAGTTCGCAAGTTTTAGTTTTGTGTTGTTTCTTCTGTATTTAAAAGGAAGAGCCATTTCATTCGCAGGGGAGGTTGTGTATGGTTTGTTATGTTTTGTTTTCTAATTTATACGTCATATGCGTGTAGCTATAGAATGGTTTTGTTGGATTTGTTTTTCGTCATCGAATGAAGGGAGTATGGAATGGGTTAGTTTGTTGATTCAACACTGGGCTTCAAAAGCCTTCCGGTTGTGTTTCAACATCCGGGCTATTGCTGGGTCCTATTGTGAATGTGACCGCTTTGCGATTGCACCTGTTTCGTGTTTGTTTTGTGGTTGTGGCTAGCGTTACCTGAAAATAAACCGGTCTATTGCTGGGCTTTGCTTTGCTGCGGGTTCGGCCCGTTTCAGGACCATTGTCTCATCCTCTGTGGTGTTGTAGTTGTCGGTAATATTTGACAGTAGTTGTAGTAGCTATTGACGCTTCTGCTTTGCTATTCAAAACCTATGCTTGTTTGTGTTACCGTAACTAAGTAATTCTGCACTTTGACCTCTTATCACTCCCGAACTGCAAAACAAAAATCTCAACGCGAAAAGGTCCACCTGGTTTACGTAGCAAATCCACACGATTCCGAACGCTTTGCGACGGCAGAAACGCTTACTCCCATGTATTGTTCCTACATGCGATGGTGTTAGCGATTTTGGATACCCCGAAGAGCATAAGTCGCGTTTACTGCCGAGTCGATTGTAGCACACAGCTTCATCATCCGCTCGACGGTTTCACTGCATCGATACGTAGCTATTCGAGTTGTTGATAAACGACGGCGTATTCAGAGTAGATGCCATATCCTGGTAGCTGAACTGCAATGAGATTGAAGCGCATCAGAAAAGTCAATACTGACATTGCTAAGCAATTGTAATTACCTGTGAGAAATGTGGTTCTTCTTGGATAGCCCCCAAAGGCCTAGCGTTGTCCGGTGGTGTCAGCTCAACGCTTTCGCCGGTGAATTCCGAATCAAAGTAACAAGTATCAGTATCGGACGATACCTGCGGTTTGAAGGGAGGCGGTATACGTTTCTGCACAAGATCGGTCCAGTTAATGCTCGAGAAAAACGGATGCACCATGATCGCTTTGGCGTCATTCGGTCCGCCACCGAGACGGTCTCTAGGTTGTTTCATCAGTAGACCGGCAAGCAGATCTCTCGCGTTGGGACTGATATTTCGGGGAAATTTAACCTCTTCCATCAGAATTAACGTGAACAGAATATCATGGTCACGATTGTAGAATGGTAGCCTTCCACACATCATTTCATACATCACCACCCCGGTACCCCACCAATCCACGGCGAGACCATAGTCGTTATCTTCCAGCACTTCGGGCGCTAGGTATTCCGGTGTGCCACAGAAAGTCTTCGTAGTGCGTCCGTAGGTGATCTGTTCCTTGCAGAGGCCAAAGTCGGCTATTTTGATGTGACCATCTTTGTCCAGCAAGAGATTCTCCAGCTTCAAATCACGGTAGACGATTTCGTGTGAATGTAGATAGCTATTTGTGTAAAAAGACCAATGAGATTTTTTTTTATAATGCATTTATTTTTCCAGGCTCATTTGCCGTAGCTTTGCGGAGCCGATATTCATTGTTTAGATCACAATTATTTAAAACTAACGTGGGTAATGCGGGGGCCGATTACTCGCGGCTATCTCGAGGTTAGGGGTAACAAATTGATAGCAAGGTAGGGTTGAGATGCGTAGAATACATTAGGTTACTCTTACTGGAAAGCTCGTCTGATGGTTATGTTTATGTAATAAGGTGTCTACAAATTTCATTCCCGATGTTTTCTGGATCATCTTGCCCCTTAAATGCTGCAAAGTGGGCCTGGCCGTTTTGATATGTGTGACGCATCTTCGATGTGAAACATATATCAAATAGACAAGAAAAATGATGTAGGTATATATATCATTTTCAAGGATGCTTTCAAGAATTGGCTGTGTTGGTGTATTAGATTGGAAATAATGTACACGAGAACTAGGGGCAACAATGTCATCCTAACCATAGTGCGCTGATATGAGATTCTGTGAATATTTTTAGGAGTTTGTACACCTCATTTTAAGTGTATAACATTGTCAACATATATCATCAATGAAGTTAAAATTAGACCCCATCAAAAAATGATTGTGTGACACCCTTATTTATAAACAACAACTTACAATTCTTTGTTTTTCTTTTCGAGAGAGTTTATCAACTGCTGTCTGAATGGCTAATATCTCGGTTGGGTTCTCCATATAATACACAATACTAACAGACGACTCGAGCTATGGTGCTTACTAGGACACTGTAGCTTTTTAGATCGTATTGCGATTACATAATCAGGAACATGTAGATGAAATGCCGCAACCTTAGTTGTAGAGAGGATTCGCAAACTAATTAAAAGAATGAATGAACGCGTTACTCCAGGGAAACAGCAGTTGAATAAAGGACGAAGACAGTTCAACTGGCGAACACTATGCCGCGGCAGTTCAAGCCATCGAACAAAGCATAGGGCCCTATTATGTAAGTCGAGTACAGCGTCACTTCTGGTCACTAATCTATTTTGGTATTACAGATGTAATACCAAATTTGACCAGTGATCAGAAATTACTACCACAAACTACAAACTACTTCGAATTGTTTGTGCTGGTGTTCCTTCAACCAAAACACAACCGAATGCGTTTTGGTTGAAACTAGAGAAGGACTAGTATAAGAGAGAAGTGGACTGGCTGGTTTTGAGCCAAACGAACTGGCATATCCAGATCCAATCGGACAGCGCCTATTTTGATTACTTTGGCAGTGTTGCTAGACATTACCGAATCATAGGTTGCCAAGGTACACACACACACACACACACACACACACACACACACACACACACACACACACACACACACACACACACACACACACACACACACACACACACACACACACACACACACACACACACACACACACACACACACACACACACACACACACACACACACACACACACACACACACACACACACACACACACACACACACACACACACACACACACACACACACACACACACACACACACACACACACACACACACACACACACACACACACACACACACACACACACACACACACACACACACACACACACACACACACACACACACACACACACACACACACACACACACACACACCAATCAGGCTAAGGCCTTGTTGTCCTCTGCTGTCCGAAGAAGTCGTCTCCACTCTACTCGATCCATGGCCACAGTTCGCCAGCCTCGTAGTCTGCGAAGGGTCCGCAGGTCACCTTCTACTTGGTCGATCCACCTTGCCCACTACGCGCCTCTTCTTATTGTTCATGTTGGGTCGCTTTCTAGAACCATATTTTCACTGGGTCGTCGTGCGGCATTCTTACGAAGTGCCCAGCCCACCGTAGTCGCCCAATTTTTTGCAATGTAGACGATGGATGGTTCTCCCAGCAGCTGTTGCAATTCGTGGTTCATTCGTCTCCTCCACGTTCCGTCATCCATCTGCACTCCACCGTAGACGGTACGCAACACCTTCCGTTCGAAAACACCAAGGGCGCGTTGGTCCTCTACGAGCATAGTCCAGGTCTCGTGGCCGTAGAGGACCACCGGTCTAATCAGCGTCTTATAGACAGTCAACTTCGTGCGGCGGCGAATTTTATTTGACCGGAGCGTCCTCCGGAGCCCAAGCTAGGCACGATTCCCTGCCATAATGCGTCTTTGAATTTCTCTGCTGGTATCATTTTCGGCGGTCACCAGTGAGCCCAAATACACGAACTCATCGACCACCTCGATTTCGTCACCGTCAATCTGAACTCGGATGGGAGGCTAACATTGTCTTCCCTAGAACCTCTTCATTTCATGTATTTTGTCTTTGATGCGTTGATGGCAAGTCCAATCCGCCTAGCTTCAGCCTTCAGGGGCCGTTTTCTTCTGCCTCACCGTTGAGGTGCTCGTCATAGTACTGCTTCCACCTCTCAATCACCTCACATTCGTTCGCAAGAAGGTTACGGTCCAAGTCCTTGCACAAATTGGCTTGCGGCACGTAGCTTTTGAGCGAACTATTTAGCTTTTCGTAGAATTTCCGTGTGTCGTTTACGCGGTACAGATTTTCTATCGCTTCGATCTCGGAGTGGAACTGGAGTGTTGGCATCACCTCTGGCATCTTAATACACGATAAATAGAAAACCCTGATAATTTTTCCTAAAAATTATCACAAACAATTCGCGCCATTAACATGAATTCTGCAAATTTTGTGATAGCACACCTCTTCGCGATTTTTGCGACATCATTTAATGTTTTCGCAATTTTTGCGACAAAAATTCAAATCCCCGACGAATCCGCGAAATCCGCCATTGGAAAAAGTAGGCGTTGAGAATCAAAGTGCAATTTCCATGTTAATATTTGAAAATCATAGCAAATGTATTGATCTAAGATTGTATCCATCGCTAAAAATCTGCTATTTATCAATTGTATCTAGATGAATGCGTCATTGGGACAGTACTAATGGATATTGTTAGTTGCTATTGAAAATTTAGTCGATTGCTGAATTTATGTATGGGCCCAAATTAGAGACACTTAGGCCGACATTACATACATTTCCCCTATATGTTTCAAGTTAAAATCAGTTGCAATTAAGCTTACATGCTTTGTTATATCAATGTTATAAAAATATGGCAATTCAAAAAGCAGAACTCAGTGCCAACAATTCAAAAGGGCGAAATTACTTTATGGAATGTTTCCTCTACCAGTTGACATCGTTTTTTTTTTGCAGAAGTGAGCTATTATTTGCGAGAAATCGGCAGTTGAAGTCATTATTTACAAAAGCAGTTTAGCCCTAACGAAATGATGGAACTAAATAGACGAAAATCCATATGGGACTGATATGCGATTATAGACAGTATATTGTATTGTACTCGCACAGTCTGTGGAAGGTGGCAATAGCAACATTTCTCATAGACAACGACGCGGCAGTTGTCTCAAATCAAAGAGAGAGAAAGACGCGCGAAAAAATACTCTAATGATCTCTCAGTCTCGACATCACAAGCCGCGATGATGCACGCGATGATGCATCATCGGAATGTTGTTTTCTGTCATAAATTGAGGTGAATGCCAAATTTTTCTGAGTGCTGTTTTGCACCTTGTGGGATAGGTAGTGCTGGCATTGGATGGCTCCGTTTTTTGCAGGTGCCGGCAAATATGATTGGTAAAGCTAGGACAGAAAAACAACGGAACGTGATTGTAAACAAATGATGATAGATATTTTTTCCTTCGCATGTGACACTATAACTGCGCTTGGAATTGTATTGCTGCTTAGTTATTTTGTAGGTAGTTGTTTGTTGCCGATTGCATGACAGATGTGTAAGTAAGATGGATTTGTATTGAAGTTGTTTTTAATTTATCGCACGAAATTATTGGATTCTGAAGTTAATTTTTGATCAATGCAACGATGTTTAACTTTAATAAATGGCGTTAGAAGTAGACTTTAAAGATAGGGGTTAGAAGTAGACTAGCATTTAAAGGATTGGTAGAATGCACAAACACTAAAAAATATCACTCCCGATAATTCTTAGAATTCGTTCTACAATGCTCCTTGAATGCCTACCCGAGCAAAATCCAGCATCAAAATGACAGCAAATTGAAATCTAATTTTGATATCAACATCAAACTGGAATCATCGATATGACGAGTGCAATCTTAAAATGCTTTTATTTTGCAAATGGAGCATTTTATTTAAATCTGATACAAATTTTGTCGAATAAGTAGAGACAAGTATGTTGACGTAGAACTGCCAATCCAGGGAAATGCAATGAAAAATGATCAGACTTTAAATGCTAATAACTTGGCCAATAATCAATGGATTTTGATGATTTGTATGTCGATTGATTCGGCAGTTTTAAAAGATTTGTGTAGTAAGGGAAATGTATGTAATGTTGGCCTAAGTGTCCCTAATTTGGGCCCATACATAAATTCAGCAATCGACTAAATTTTCAATAGCGACCAAAAATATCCATTAGTACCGTCCCAATGACGCGTTCATCTAGATAAAATTGATAAATAGCAGATTTTTAGCGATGGGCCCAATCTTAGATCCATAGGCCAACATTAGAGCCATTTCCCCTATGTCTTCTTCTTCTTATTCGCATTTCAAACTTATTGCTTAGCGCATATTAGCTTATTGCGTGCTCTCAACTTAGTGTTCTAAATGCACTTCCACAGTTATTAATTGAGAGCTTTCGATGCCAATACCAATGCTTGAATTTGTATATTGTGTGGCACACAATGATACTCTATGCTCAGGGAAGTCGAGAAAATTTCCAACCCGAAAGATTCCCTCGACCGGACCGGGAATCGAACCCGCCGCCTCCGGCTTGGTAATACCGTGCCTTTACTGACTAGGCTATGAGGCCCTATGTCACACATTATAAATGTTAAATTTTTAAATAGCTAAAAATTAAGAAATATGGAAACATTCAAATTTCTCATAATTTTATTCCACCGCAAGGTGCTCACCCCTAACACAGCCATCAGAAAGTTGGTCCCTAACAACACAAGCCGAAGCCGCACAATCATTCAGCGTTGCACTCACGTTGGTTGGGTCGACCTCGAACTTGTTCGCTGGAGCGTGAACATCGTAGCATCTTTTTCAATTCATTCACCTAATTACTAAATCAACTAAATACTGAAAAAAGGAGGGGCATAGAATGATAATCCAAATGCTTAAGAAAGTTTTACTGCAGTCATCGTTTGACTGCCGAGTGATAAACAGGGGTGTTCGTTGCGTTCCACACTGAAAACGAAACTAACTCAGAGAGTGAATAACTTATACTCAGTTGTGAGTCACTTTTACTCATTCGTATGGTTGTCTTTATTGGTTGGTTATTTTAACTTGACAGGTTTCTGTATTCAGTGAAGTTATTCGGATGGACAATATCTCATGATTGGCCTCTTAGTTCAGAAGTCACTCACCATGCAGCGCTAGTAGCATTTGATTCAAAAGGCTTGCTTAAGCAGTCTACATTCACTGAAAACGAATCTTATTCAGAGAGTGACCAACGCTTTTAGAAATTTATCCTTACGAATGAGCAAAAGTTACTCACTCTCTGAGTTAGTTTAGTTTTCTGTGTTTCGACTAGATAGGAGATTGCTATCTCTAGTAATGTTATTCAAATGGATAAGACCTATTGTATACTGGACACAGGGTGACCAGTGAACCGGGAAATCGGGAATGAATTTCCACAATGAAAGGGAATGAAAATAACACACTCCTTTGCTTATAGTCTAGAACAGAACAGTCCCCAATTTTATTCATGAATTTCGATGATGAACCGGGAAAAAAATATACTTCGTCTTCTCTTTGGAAAATAATAATCTTCTGCACTGCTAGATTTTCCGGATACAATCACTTTGAAGAACTTATACGATAATTTTGATGAAAATTCCAAAGGAATTTAGATGAAATTTTAGGATGAATTCTAGAGATAATAAGGGATGTAAGATACAAATTCCAATGGAGTTTTCGAAAGTATTTTTATAAAGTTTTGACTACAACGCCAAGTCAATTATTTAAGTTCAAAGTAGAATATTATTAGGTGGTTCTGTGTGAAATTACATCACGATTATAAAGAGGATTACAGGTTAATTTCCAATGAATATTATAAATAAATTCCGAGAAGTTCTTCTAAGAACTTCAAAGAAATTCCGAGAGTATTGAATTCTGTGGGAATTAGAAAGATAATTTCATGTGAATTCTACGGGAAATCCGTGCAAAATATCAAGGGTTTCGAATTTTCAACTAAATTGCTAAACCATTTATTTTGTCACTTATATATTATTGAATGGAACTGCAAAATAATCTCGTAGTTCAACGTCAACAATGCGGTCGTGGTTTGGACACAACCCTCAACTTTGTTTAGACTAAAATGAAATGGAAGTTGGCTTCAAGCATTAAGCCTGCAACAGTTTTTTTTTTTGTAAAATATGTTCAATAAGTTGATTTATTTACCAGAAAGTAAAAAATGTGTGTTACGACCTTTTAAGTGTTCTAAGATAGAACAAATTGTTTGGAGAATTTTAAAAGATACATGAAAGGTGGGACACGGTGGCATTAGAACCCACGAATCCCAGATAGAACTGTTCCAATTGGTTGAAAAACAAAACAATCAAGGAACATTTTTTTGTATGCTGAAACTCAAACTGCAGCTGAATATTCTGGGTATTTTTTCTTCTTAGGTTTGCAGCCACGATTTCACACTTCGTCATACTTTCGACATCAAGTATCAGGAATTACAGGAATTATTATTCTTCACGACCCCACCCACCATGTCAAAATAGAATGGAGATGATTCATATAGTACCTGTAACCTGCACATATTATGTTACGCTCTAAGGGGGGTGCGGGGTTTTATGATTTTGAGACAAGCAATGCATTAGGTATAGGAAAAACGTCACGAAAGAGGGGAGAGGGGGTTAATTTTCCCTCAATTTAGCGTGACATGGGTTTTTACAAGTAGGTATAGAGGTACTCACCCAAGTGCCGATATGATTTCAGCGCCGTAGAATCTGGTCCTATCTTCGGTGAAAACGCGTTCGCGACTGAGATGAAAGAACAGCTCCCCTCCGTTGACGTATTGCATCACGAAGCACAGACGGTCCACCGTTTGAAATGAATATTTTAATGACTGGAATGTACGGGAAAAACAAAACATTTGCATCAACCGTCAGGGTTTATTTTTAACCACGGTACTATGTGTTTGATTGCAACTCACTATTAGGAAAGGGTGGTTGGTCTTTTTGAGTACGCGATTCTCTGCCATCGTGTGAGCGACTTCGTCCTTCTGTACAATGACCTCTTTCTTCAGAATTTTGATGGCATACAGTTTGGCGGTTGTTTTTTCGCGACACAGAATCACCTTGCCGAAGGTTCCCTTGCCAAGTACTTTTAAAAACTCGAAATTTTCCAGTGTCTGCAAAAAAAACCGAATATTAATCATGGATTCGCTCGTCAAATAGACGTTGTAGATAATACATACCACTTTCTTCTTGCCACTGATTTTTCCAGTTGATGTGCCCTGAACTGAAAACTTTTCTGTCAACAGTTCATCTTCGGCGATGGAGGCCATCTCTACGTCTTCGTTAGACTGGGAACCTTGGTAGGCTTCTTCTTCGGTCAGTCGATTGGCTACGCTCCGGATTGCTTCGACCCATTCCTGGCGTTCTCGTTCTTCTTCGACGTGAAACATTCGTTCGATGACAGTGGTCCACTGTAGGCCACGGATAATGAAAGTGAACGGTCGTGGCCTATCAACAGACATGATCTGGCAGCCTCGAACGGTGAATTTATTGGATGGTTCCGCTTGGAACGATGCATCCGGGCGGTTCTTGTAGCCGACCAGTGTTCCGTCATCGCGCAGGATGAAATAACGCGAGCGCCAGTTCTTAATATGCTCACCGCGTTTATATAGCCAGCCTTCTTTCACAACCGGAGCTGCTGACGGTTGGATGACGCGAGGAGGCTGAGGTTGACTGTTGTCGGATGAAGACATTCTGATCTGGTTTAGCACTTGGGTGCAAGTCACTAGTCACAATTTTGAGGTATGCCTGGTTTATTAGGTCGTTTCGTTCCCAATGACGACGACGACGACGACGTGTTAATTCAAAGCACTCGCGTGTGCACCCGTGCACTTTCACCGATCTGCGAAGCACTGCAATTTGCGATACGATGAGGACTTCTCCTTTCGTTTCAATCAACAGTACTGTTGGCACCGTGCCTGCTGCTGCTGTTGCTGCTGCTGCCGCTACTTCGTTGTTATTTTTGTTGTTTTTTTTTCTCGAATCTGTAAAGCAAATATTGAATATTGTTTATTAAATCATCGTTTGACGCGAATGGAGAAGTGTTGAATGAAACCGGATTAGTACGTAAGCGGTTGGCAAATACAAAACAAAACTCGCCCGCCTGTGATTCCCATTCAACGACTTTGAGGAGGCAGCAGGCACGAACAGCATTGGGAAAGGTGTACCCAGCGATGCCACATCTACGGAAATTTGTATACGAAAAAGTTGAGAATTCAATGCCGCATTAAATCAGATGTTGCTTGATGTAAATAATTCTTTGTTTTACTATTTTTTTAAATAAATATTAATGTCTAAATTAAATTCATTAATATTAAGGGGTTGGGACTTTTTTCGTGTACAAATTTCCGTAAATGTGACATCGGTGAGTGTACATCAAACGTGAAAAACTCATTCCCGCGAGTACAAGAAATGAAATAAACTCAATTAATAAAAAATATGTGTTAAATTTTGGTTTCAGGGTAGCAAAGTTGCTAAAAATGGTGGTTGAAGCATGGAAGGATTTGTTCCAAACTCAAATAAATTCACATTCGTTTTCCTGTTTTTACTTGATATTCGCATTTCTGAGCTATATGATTATAATTATATGCTCGAAAGAGTGAAGGGGTTTCATCTTTTCATACATTTTGATCAAACACTCCCTATTAAATTTAAGCCAAAAGCAAAACCTCGTTTAAGGGGTAGACGGGGCAAGATGAGCACTCTTCAAGTTTCACATATCTTGTATTTTTGAAAACTGCACATACTACCTTTCAACAATGAACCTGTGATGTAACGGTCCAAAAAATGATTTAGAAATATTCAATAACTACCAAGAAATTTATGTAAAATGTAATATTTTACTCTTTTTGTAAAAAGAATTTGCAATAATCAATAAACCCTTTTTTACGTATGTTACAAGTATCAATTAATGCTTTAACCTGGTGCTCGTATTTTGTTTTGAACAACTAAGGAATATAATCCTTTACAACTCAAAAATATTCCAATCTAATCTAATCTAATCTAATACAAACGCAGCCAGTACGAGAAAGCATCCTGGAAAATGATTAGGTTAGATGAGGTCTAATCATTTTTCTTGTCTAATTGATGTTTACAGCATATCAGATATGATATAAACATCAATACGGCCAGGCCTACTGCGTTGTATTTGCCGCAAAGATGATTCTTGGAAATTAATGGGAACATTTCTTGAATCTACAGGGGTGGAAGGATGCGTGGACATACCGTACCAAACGCTCCGAGTTACTATGTGTAGTTGTGTGTAATGTGTAAATATTTGTGCAATATTGAAGAATCATAAAATAATCCAATGGAAGGATCTTACCGAATTTTCTACTATGTTGGTAATGATTATTTTGTGCTTAAAAGTTTCGTAGGATGCATCCGCTCCTCCGATCGGGAGGTTGGAGAAAAATCCAAACAGCCGATTTACCATCGGCCTTGCATGTCCAAAAGCCAGATTGTGAGCAATCTCGTGAGAGGCGAATGATTAATCACCCCTCCAAAGAAATATGCCACCAGGAAAATCATCTTCCACGATTGGTCCTTCATTATGAACAACATCGCAAACTGCGTTAGCACCATGGCACCAGCCACAAACTTGAACCGCGGATCATAACCGAAAAAACTTCTTGATCTGCGGATACTTTTGCAGGATAATTTTCCTTCGACTGGCGTGCGGTTCCTCGGTGTAACACCACTTGCGGTCACTTCTTGATTGCTTGGGAAATACTCCCAAAATGAAAAAAAAATCCGAATTTCACAACACTGCTTCACGTAGAATACACCGAGGCAAAAGAACGTAAGAATTCCATAAGAACCACTTATAAATTTTAGCCACAAGAAATCGGTATGAATTTCATAGATTTGCCTTACGAAAAATAATGTCGACAAAAAATAATAAAAAGGAGCAGACTGGAATCGAACCATGCACGTTGAGAATACGGGTCTTATGTCTGGACCACCCGTCTGTCGACGCTTGGGTAAAAAGAATGGCTAAACGTGTATAAGAGCTACCTTATGTTAGACGAAAATCTTTCATAAGTCGCGCTTATGAAATTCATATGTGTCGTTCATAAGTCGAGCCTTATGATATTCTTAAGTCTATTTGCCTCAGTGTAGTGAAGACGCTCAAAAGTAAAAGTACACCCCCCGGCTGCAGTATCGATGATACCGACCTGGAATTATCCTTAGCTCGGCCATAAAAGTCTGCACTCGCAAACTTCTCTAGAAAAAAACCCTTTACAACTCAAAAATATTATGCAAAAAATAATTCCGCATTAAGTGCATGTTTTTCCGCCCAGGAGTGTCTAAGACCGGTGTTAAAAAGTAATTTTTTTAAAAGTCCAAAATTGTATTAATTCCTAGGTGCTAGAATAGACATGAAACATCTAGTGTAGACAATGATTGACTGTACACTAGAATGATGCAAAATTTAAAATTTTCACTCCACAGTGCTCAAACGGTTCCAAATTGGGCCCTGATTAGCCTCCCAAAATTTGAACTCATTTAGTGAGAAACTGACTTGGCACAAACCATTTGAAGTTTATATGGGAATTACTATGGAGAAACCATAATTCTCAAAATTCACCAGCTACTTTAGAAAATGATAGCTGAGCTTGTTGAAAATTTTCTCAGCTAAAACTTTGTTGAAGACCACTTTTCGATCAAATGTAAGGAACAAAAAGTATTAATGATTCAAGTCACTGATGTCTTATGATTATGCTCAATCAACTGTTCAGCAGGCAACATTGGTGTTTATGGCGCGTAGAATAGAGGACAAAAATTATGGCACTATGTCACACTGCAGAATACAGTTGCTTAATCTTGCCATAATATTATCAATCTCTTAAACAATTAATAACTATTTAATTTGACGTTTGACTGAAAAACGATTTTCTGCAAAGTTGTAGCTGATAAAAAGTTCCATAAGAATAGAAATAGAATTTGTTAACAGTACAATATGTAAATAGCTAGAAGACAATGAACAAGAAGTTTTGTTTTCTCATAGTGATTTCAATACAAACTTCTAATGGTTTGTGCCAAGTCAATTTCTTATCAAATGAGTTTAAACTTTCTGAGGCTAATCAGGACCCGATTTGAAACCGTTTGAACACTGTGGAGCGAAAATTTCAAATTTTGCATCAGTCTACTGTACACAGCAAAAAAATAATTTTGATATCAAGTCAAAGTGGATGCACTACAATCATGTCGAAAAATTGATTGATTGTAGTGCATCCACTTTGATGTGATATCAAAATTATTTTTTTGCTGTGTACACTCAGGTCTTATTTTACACGGAGGATATGTGCCGTGTAAAAAAACCTACCGAGATTTTGATTTTTCACATGCTTAAATGTTTTTAAAAAAATCGGATTCTGATGCCATTTGTAATTATAGCATGCAATGGTCTATATAGACATATTTTAAAAATTTCTGTATTTACACCGAACATTGTGATTTTTTTTTTAAGTATGCAATTCGATAACCTATAGCTTGAAACGGATAATGTGATTTGAATCAAGTCGATATGTTGTATCGTTGTCGAGAAATCGTTAAAAATGTACCGCGTAAATCGCGAAAAACCGCGTAAAAAAAGACTTCAGTGTATTAGTTGCAATTATTACATACAAAAATGATGGCCACCCTAACAAAAAAGCTGTGTAGTGATTATTGGATAATCGGGAAAAGGGTGAATAAGCACCTTTCAAGTTCACACACATCTAAACAGCAGATTAACAGCTGTATAGAAGTGTAAATGGATAGGCAATAAGAGCTTGTCCCAACCGTACCACCAGCCATAAGTAGCTGACTAAGTTCACCGGATTTGCTTGTATAGAGGTTGAGTAAAGGTTACCTCGTATCGTATAGCATTTGAATACAGCTTGAGGCTGTATAAATGAAATGAGCAAAGCGTTTACATTGTGAAAATTGTTAGTTGGGTAGTGTCGCATAGTGAGCGAATTCTGAACTAACCAGCCCGCAAATTAGAAGACATTGATCACATGAACAACTTTCCCGAAGACGGAAACTATCTGAATAGTAAAGATCTCATGATATATTGACTGGCACATTAGCGCCGCGTGGTGAAATTTTTTTGTACTACTGTTCTCTAACCAATCCGCCTTAACTAACCTACTAACCTTTTATATGGTCAGGATCATGGGATACTCCATGTGGTCGTCTTACCCCTTTCATTTAGAATGTTTTTGGTTCGTGATAAAACAACATCGAATGAAAAGGAAATTTTTCTAAAGTACTCTAAATATCAATGTTCCCAAAATTTATCTAAGAATATTTATACAGTTTTGGTTAAATTTTACTTCAAGCTCAGGGTGGCCGTTTTACCTCGTCGTCCCCTAATTTTCTATCAAATCTTTCAGTCGCAGACTGGTACGTTTTAAAAATGATTTCGAAAGGATATTTCTATAATGCATACCTTTGAAAAATCAGAAATATGCATTCTGGAAAAACTTGCTTGTACACTGCAGTCCATTGCAAGAACTGCCATTACATTTGTTGTATGAGTTATATGCAGAGGATGTGATAAATCCAATTGGATGTAAGAGAAATTTGTTTTGCGTGTGGAAAAACGAAAGTATTAGTACACTTTATGATTACAGGGTCGGGGTAGGTCCTGAGATCCCGGACAGAAGAAATGACTGGTCTGACGGCGAATGCCAGCTGTTAAGTGAACCATACACGATTGTTTTTATTGACATTCTTTATTAACGTCAATACATCGATACTGACAATATTTCTGAATTCACATCATCAATATTATTATCAATCTCCCTTCGCGTCAATATATAGATACGTGTGGGGTTCGTTTTAGTAGAGGAGACAAATGCAGCACGGGTGAGAATGCTGCAACACCGTACGAAATTGAATGTGGAGCAATACAGACAAGCGCGGAACAGACAGAACTCGGTTTTTTTTAAGGAAGAAGCGCCAGCAGG